AATAACCACCCCTACTTATTAAACCTATTTTGGGTATTAGATATTTTATGCATTCATTACTCTTTGGCCATAAAAAATCCATACTAATTGCATTCTTTTTTCTTAAAATTAAACCTACATTAATTACATTTCTCTTTCACAATTTCTTACTATTTCCTTTTCCAAAAACTTGGTTGCCTTCTCCTAGTAGACGCCTTCTGGTTATACTCCCGGCGATAGACTCGTTCTGACCAGATTTTCTATGGTAGACTCCCTGCGACCACCTAAAAAGAAGTATCATTGCATTAAAAAGTACCATTGCACTGATATAACCACCATTGCACTGATAACGTTACCAGTACACTGATACAACTAACATTGCAATGATACAACTACAAGTGCACTGATAACGTTACCACTGAAATTATACGTGCAGTCGTAGGCGGGGAGAGGAGTGACGGTAGGAGGAGTTGCAGAGACGCGACATAAGGAGTTGCTGGACGGCAACCGAGGTTCGTGGTGGAGTGTTGCGGCGGGGAGAGAGAGGAGAGAGAAATGTAATTAATGTAGGCATAATTTAAAAAAATAATATAATTAATACGAGTTTTCAATTCTCAAAAATCATTAAATGCAACACAAATTTAATACCTTAAATACCTATAATTAATAGGGGTGTCATTTTTTCTACCCTTAGAGGATAGTGATGCTATCTATCCCCTATTACTATATATGTAGAGGTTATTTGATTAACACAATTTTGCTTGGGAATTTTGTAGGACTTGTTAAGAACTACAACTTTTATTAGAGGGTAATTTTTTTAGAATGTATGCTGAAAAACTTACCTTAAAGTATTCTCAAAACCGCTAATAAAAAATATGTCCTCTCCCGATAGGTTAAGACTTCAAACAAACTTTGGGCTTGGTTATTTGACTGATGCAAAAAGTCTATCCAGATCTATGCAGTGACAAATGTCAAAAGGCTATTTGTCTTCTTTCTCTTCAAATAAGGTCGTTTACGGAACCGAATTGGTAAAAAAATTATTTCATTAAATTTTGTACGGTTATAATTTTTTCATCCGAACAGAGCCAACATTTTTCGATTTTGCATAACTTTTCAATTACCACAACTTTATGAGGGTAATATTTTAAAATAAATATTTTATTATTTTAGTAGTTTTGAGTATGCTTTTAGGGTTGTTTTTAAGTTCCAACATACATTATGAAATTGCCCACTAATAAAAATTGTCGTATTAAAAGGTTTGAGTAAAAAAATTGTGCCAATAAGATAATCAAATGCAAAATTACGATCGTTCGAAGTTCCAAAATATATTAGTAGCATTTCGCTTCGAACAGAAACAATGTACCAGCAAATATCTCCGGCTTTTTGTGATTTACTTAGGCCGGTGCGGTCTTCAACAATCTGCTTTCTAATTGGCAAACACAACAATGATCTAGCAAAAAATTGTGTATATATATTGAAAGTGAACGGCTATTTGCCGCCAACTAAAAAAAAAAAAAGAATTCAAATTTTGAATTTTCCCTTCCTTCCCAGTGCCTCCGTCGCCGGCACCGTTCTTCCGTCGTCGGCTAACCTCCCGTCGCCCTCAATCGTCGGAAAACAAGTAAGTTTACTTTTTCCGGCCAGTTTTCCAGTTTTCCGGCGAAAAACAAGGCGGGCCGAAAAAAAATTGCGACCCGAACACCGCCGAGCCGAAAAAAATTTGTGGCCGGGGCGACGGCCGGCCGAAAAATTCTTTCGGCCCGGCGACGCCTCGGCCGCAAATTTTTTTCGGCCGGTCGCCGAACACGCCGGCCAAAAATTTTCCGGCGGCGTGTTCGTCGGCCGGCCGAAAAAAATTTGCGGTCGGTCCGCCGCCGGGCCGAAAGAATTTTTCGGCCGGGCGTCGCACCGGCCGCAAATATTTTTCGGCCCGGCGGCGCACCGGCCGCAAATATTTTTCGGCCCGGCGGCCCACCGCCCGCAGACGTTTTTCGGCCCGAGTAATTGGGTTTCAGGCTTCCCACACGGCCAGGGGCACATGGCCGTGTGAAGCCTCGCAGAATTCCACACGGCCAAAGTGCAACTTCACATGGCCGTGTAGGTCACCCAGCCAGGCCGTGTGAAGCCTCGCAGAATTCCACACGGCCAAAGTGCAACTTCACACGGCCGTGTAGCTCACCCAGCCTGGCCGTGTGAAGCCTTGCAGAAATCCACACGGCCAAAGTGCAACTTCACACGGCCGTGTGAGTTGTGTGTGTGCCCGTGTGGCTTTCTTTTTGACTTGCCTCGCGCCCAATCTTCGTCCAATCGACCCCGAACTCGCTCGAAATCCATAATGAAATCCATAAGTTCATAATGACACTAGGGTCATTATAAATACAACTAGAAAAACAACAACATATAAATAGAGCATTGCAACACTATGCATTGCTCCTACCCCTACCTCTTCCCCTAGCTCTTCGGGGGTCTCTCTGCCTGGCTCGCTGCCGACCACCAAGGGTTTAGGGTTCAGGGTTCAGGGTTCAGGGTTTAGGGTTTAGCGTTTAGGGTTCAGGGTTCAGGGTTCAGGGTTTAGGGTTTAGGGTTTGAAACACATGGTTCGTGTAGCACCTTGCCCACATTGTCTGATGAGGCAACCACTCACCTCGCACGTAGGCAACCGCTGGAATTTTTCGGCCCGGCCAGGTTCCGGCCGTCGGAATTTTTCGGCCCACCGTCTGTTCGTTTCAAATCGTCGGAAAAATTGTTCGAAACTACAAAAAAATTACGCACCTGCTTAGTGATGATTCATGGATGCGTGTACGCAGTATATGTCGAGGATAGGCTTTCCCGATGATTTTCCGGCGACTTTTCCGGCGAGCGTTGAATTTTTCTGATTCAATACGTTCTCTGAAAGTTGGATATGTTGTAGATTGTGAAACTCCTTAACCAAAGATGTATATATATACTTTTTTTTCATCGATGATTTTCCGGCGACTTTTCCGGCGAGCGTTGAATTTTTCTGATTAAATACGTTCTCTGAAAGTTGGATCTATTGTAGATTGTGAAACTCCTTAACCAAAGATGTATATATATACTTTTTTTTTGGTTGGCGGCAAATAGCAATTTTGTTGGCGGCAAATAGCAAGCCCCATATTGAAAAGTTTAATTGTAAATATTGTATCGTTAGAATGACTATGCAATTATCTCATTGATTAACAACTTTGATATTTGGTTTGGGGGTGTGGGGGAATCATAACTGACTATGGGATTTTTTTTTTATCGAATGACTAGCAAGATTAGGGGTGGAAATTTGGTTTGCGGGTTGCGGGTAACCCGCAAACCGCACCAAACCACACACTTTGTGGATACCCATTCCACATAATTTGTGGATAGTGGGTTGGGTGTAGGTAGCAAAATATTGATTTTTGTGGTTAGTGGTTAACCACTACCCACAACGATTTACTCACAAAATCAATATTACGACATTAGTTATATTTATTTCTTCAAAAATACTTTGTTACCCTTATTAACCACATTAGTTATATTAGTTTGTGAAACTTGGAAGACTAAGAATCAAATTAGCTACCAAAATTAAATACACACTTATTCTATAAAACAAAATCAAGTCAATACGCAATGTTCATGTGAGATACTTTTGTCAAATAAGCATTGTCCGTATGGTACATGTTTATTTTATAACAAAATCAAGTCCATAAATATAGTTAGATAAATTAATCGATTCGTTAAAAGAGATGAATAATCGATAAAGATTAGTCTGATACCCAAACTTATCTCCATTTCTCCACAAACTCACGAACAACACAACATGCAACCAGCTACCAACAATACAATACTATAATCAAGAGCGGAGAATAATCGATTCATTAAAAGCGGGCGCCTCCACTTATCGAGCCACTTTTGTGTTTTGTTGTTGTTGCCATCAGAGGAGCCGTGACATGCAACGATATTTGTCTAGTAACAAGTCACTCCGCCTCTTCGTTATCTTCAAACTTCTTTCCAAATCCATCTTTTCTGAATTTACACTAACTAACCTATTGTATTCGAGATTTATAATTTATTAACACTTTATTAACTTTCTTTTATGTATGTTTTTGTTTTTTTTAGAAGAAACACAACATCACTATTTAATTACCATATTATTATATTTAATGTGAAATTTTTTTTGGTATCAACAACCAACCCGCACCAACCCGCAGCAGGTTAACCACTACCCACTGTGGGGCGGGTTGTGGGTAGCATAATTCTATATTTGTGGGTGAGGTTATCCGCAAAATGTAAGGCGGGTAACCACACCCACCCCAATTTCCACCTCTAAGCAAGATAATTGATACAAATTTCACATCCAAACAATCTGCAATTACTCGTACTCGTGATAATAAATCATTCATATGGTTTTCTTCTTTGTCATTCAGAGTGCATCAAGATGTCCTGTGTCAAATCAACGGAAGAAAACGGTCCCTAATGTAGGGTGAAAAATAGGAGTTCAAAACTTGCCCACGCCATTACCGTCCGTCCAGTCCTACATACCATTCATTCATCATCAGTTTGTTTTCTTTTCTGTGAGACGGGCCATGTGACAGGTCAGGTGACAAGTGACACAAGTTTGTTTTCTAGAAGGGAGCAAGTTGCTCCATAAGAGACACCATCGAGTACGAATGTATGGAGCTCAAGGACCACCCTCCACTCCATACTTTATCCTAACTTATACGGCCACAATCCGTCTCAACGACAAAGCAAGTTTTCACGTTCCATTCAGACTCGAATAATAACATTTTTAGCACAAGGTAAGAAGTCTTCAACCTTCCATACACGAGCTCCCAAAGAGAAATGCATTAAGAGTTGTGAAATGAGAAAAGAAAAAGAAAAAAAAACAACAACAAAAAAACCAAGGTTAAAATACATCTGAAAGGATACATTACAATATGGGTTGACAAAGACACAAGCTTCGCAATCAATGGGGACAATGCGCGGGGGCAAGGATGAAGAATGCACAACTAGTGTTGAGACTCCTCCCTTGGTCAGAGCAAGCTGTTGCTGCAGTGGAGGCTGTTCCAGCTGACCGCTTCACTAGTCTTGTTGTAGTTGCTCTTCTCTGCCGCCGGGCTGCTTCCCATGCTGCTGTTCGAACGCGAGACAAACGTAGTCCTCTGCAGAACTCCGGTAGGGGATGAAGCAAGGCTGTTGTCCCATCCTTCGGTCATCAAGTTCAACGTTGGTGACAGGGAACTATTGTTGCTGCATTGATCCCCTCCTCCTCCCCCTCCGTTGTTGCCCTTGTTATTGGTATTGTGCTGCAGAACCTCGCCCAGCGGACCTCCCATTGAGGCCTCCCAGGAGATGGGGATCCAATTCGCCGCCTGCCTTTGGCTCTCCCCATTTGCTACTCCAAGTCCCATCTGGACTGGTTCCTTCTCGTTGTTTGGGGAGGAAGTGGAGGACATGAAGTCAGTAGCATGGGAGGCAGGGATGGATATCGACAGCTGAGATCCGTCGGGATGATGGGCTTTCGGCCAGTTGTCCATGAACTGATGGAGAGAGTGCTGCTGCTGGTCCTCAGAAGAACCAAAGCTCCTACAGCTGATTAAGGAGGAAGGTGACTTCTGTGATGGGTTGAGTAGAGATTCGGAGCTAACCAATCCAAACTCTGTTTGCGAGGAAGATTCTGCATATGGATCGTGTCGTTGCTTTGAGATCATGAACGAGCTGTTCTCGTTTGATTTCAGGTCAGCATTTGATTTGTTTACAAACATCCTACACAGCAGAGATCTCATTAGTCTAGGAGCATTGATCATAGAAAATGTTACCTATGAACTATAAACCCACCCGGAACCTATGCGGTTAAGTGCAAATTTGGGTTCTACAATCACTATAACACCATCCTATAGTCCAATCCCATTTTGACATAACCACGAAGCTTAATAGAACATAGTTAATGCATGCAGTCAAAGTAGATCCCCTGAAGAAGGAAATCATCTCTAAGTATACTCCTATTCAATAAGTGAAGATTCGGTCCAAACCATGCATTTACAGATACTAACAGTTTAGAAGAATAGAATAATGTTACCTGCCGAGGGGAGTAGAAGCCAGAAGATCATTATTGTGATGAGGGAGTACTGTGTTTGAAAAAGAACCACCATAGCTGCGGGAGGTAGCTGCCACCGAAGAAGCTGCAGTAGAAGCAATGGTGGTGGTGTTAGCAGCAGGAATGGCTTTGGCTGCAGCAGCAGCAACAGCATTGTTAGTGGTGGCAACTGAATGGCCAGAACGGACTTCCACAGGCTTTCTTGAACGATGGCGGCCTCTGTTGATATGTCGTTCGCAATACTTCTGATCGGGCACAGCATCTCTCGAGCACCGCCATTTCTTCCCATCCGTCCTCCGGCAGCGTCCAGGCTCTGGATCGCCGCTGCTCGAGAATCCGGGATGGAATGGACCCCATCCAACTGCAACCCCCCAACATTCCCACAAATCAACACTATGTCACAACCAATCGCAAGCATTTGAACAAAGAGACTAAACTGATACCGTTTATCAATGATTTCAGTATGATTCTCCACGATTCACCATTAAAAGTTTCGAAACAGTTACTTTCATCAGTTGGATCTTAAGAATGGTTTCACAAACCCTAGAAATAACACAGCAATAACAACAACGGCAACTACCCTTTACTCAAATCATCCTTGTTCTTACAATGAATTAACCCTGAATCTCAACTCCTAAGGATGCCCCCAACTCTGAACTTCAAACATTGAAGCTAAATGGGCATCACCAACCGGATCAAGAAGGAAACCCCACATTTGGAAGAGAAAAGCACAAAAAGAAAATGAAAAAAAGAAAGGGTTTGGATTTACGCAAAGGTAAACTGAAAAATGCTAACTTTGTAGATCTTTCCAGTAAAGTCAGAAAATTTCTGCAAATGCAAAGAAGAAGAAGACGAAAGCAAGGGAAAGGGGGAACTTACAGGTATTGGGTCTAAGGAAGCCAGGTGAAACAAACGAAGAGAAGGCAGCAGATTGAAGAGCTTTTCTGATGGGGATGAGAAGACTGTGAGGGACAGGGACATTGGAAGTGAGGTATTTGTAGATCAACGCCTGGTGTTCAAGCTCCATCCATTGTGATGGAGTGAAGGAGCCTCCTCCCCCTCCTCCTCCCACATGCATCATCCTTCCACCATTCAAGTTGGGAGTTTGCTCCAGAAAGGGGTTGTGGGTTGTGGCCTGCAGCTGGAGAAGGAGAATAGAGAGGTAAAAGACAAAAACTTGAGGAAATGATATTGGGGGAGAGTTTTTAAGGAACAAAAGAAATTGCAGGTTGGACTTTGTGGAGAGAAGCAAAAACGAAAAGCAGAAAATGGGACGAGAAGTGAGAAGATATAGAAGCTGTTTGGCACGTTCGGCAGAAGAAAAGAAGAAAAAAAAAAAGTGGTGATTAAGTTAAGTCCCAAACGGCTTTCCAATTCCATCAGAAGGAAAAACAGCCTTCCATCGAAACAAAAGAAGAAAGTCCCAAACGGCCCACTCATTTGCCTGTAACACACCAACGCTTATACTAACAGATTAGTAAACGTACCATAGTTATTAGATTTGGTTAATTTTTATCCATGGATCCCCTCGATCTTTCCTGGTCCTTGGCATCTCAAGATCCAAGTTTCAAAGTATCATTGCCCCCCAACCACCATTTGGTGGCTTCAAAACTCCCATAATGGTTTCTCCATCAGCCCATAACTCGACGAGGATGGCGATGTTCATTCGAGTGATTGTTATATTTCTCTTGCGAAAGTGTAAGTATGTGTCCCAATCTGTCACCTGTCTACCGAAATTGCGAGGAATTGTTGTCCATCTCCATTCCTACGAACGCTTTTATCCTTGACAACCTCACTCTTCAAGAAATTACTTGATCTAATTATACCGCTAGGGCAAGTGTTTAGTCCATTCTTGGATGATGCCTTGATAATGAGACTATGAAACAAAAACAAAGCAAGTTAGTTTTATTTGATTTTATATGGATGTGAAGCAGAGTAAGGAGATGATCATTCATACCCTCTATGTTGACGACACTTATTTTTTGCAAGGATAATAAGGATCACATACTTACTTTATTGGCTTGATTAGTTTGGTTGTAGCCAACCTTAGGTCTAAAGGTTACATGTGTTGCCGGTATATTTTTTTCTTGTGCAAGATTGAGGGCTTTTCGAGAAAATATATTGGTCTTCCCATTAGGATGAAGGAAAAATGCCATGCGCTCTAAGAACTATTCATTTTTTTGTATCCAAAAGAGGTTTGAATCTTGCACACTAAATTTTTGCCTTTTGGAGGGCAGATTGTGCGCCTTAATGTGTCGAACTCAAATCGAATACGAGACAAACACGAGCTAAGACTTTAGTAAACGAGTCGAGTTCGACTCGACTCGCCTCTTTGATAAACAAGTCTAATTCAAATTAACTCAACTTATTACTCGATTCGGCTCAGGTAATTTTGAAGTCATAAATTAACATCCATTTTTCGACCCAACCGACCGAATTTCATGTACTCCGATTGTCAATTCGGCAAACCCATAAGTTGAGGGTAGAGTTGGCAATTTTCAATCCAACCCACCAATCCATTAAAAATATCCAACTAATCCAATCCATTTGATCCAAATCCAATTGGATTGGTGGATTCATGGATTGGATTGATGAATCATTGACAAATTAAAGTTTAGTACCTAAAATTTAAATTATTACAAAAAATATCAGTGAAAAATTATGTTTTGGTACCTAAAGTTTTCCATTATGAAATTTTAGTCCCTAAACTTTTCATATTTTACATATTGGTCTAAGGTTGAGGATGTCATTTTGGATTTATGTATAATCCACCAACCCACTTGATCTATCTATGAATCCACCAATTTATATCCACTTACCACCTCTAGTCGAGGGTAAAATCTAAAATGTAAACCCCTAGCTTAAACAAAGGATATTCATATCAATGCAAGTAAAAGTAGGCCTATAAAATGGAAAAGGAAATAAAATAGAACTGAAGGGCATGCTAGTTTCGATCCAAGTTGTTTGGTTTGGTCTCAAGGAGTTGGTGGTCAAAGATACTATAAAGTTGTTGATTAATGTTAATCATATTTGGTTAGGTTTAATTAATCTAAGAGAGTGGGAATCTAAGATCCAAAGAGGAGTATACATGATGGTAAGGTAAAGCTCAACTGGCCCTTCAATTTCATTAATTAATAATTGTATGCGTGTATAGTTAATTAACAGGATGTGATGCGGTCCCTCAAATCTCATCCCACCCTTATTTTAATTGTGTGCCCCTAATGTCACATGTTTTAGGTCAATAATGGCACTTTACTTTCTTCCCTACCTCATACCAATTAAACAAACAAATACCATTTGTAATCTTTTTATAAGACAAGGGTTGTCTACTTTTTGGACTAAAAGATCAGTAATGTAAAAACTAATTCACGTCAAAGTTAAAAGAAAATATACATGTTCTTTTAATTTTTAGAGAGTTGATAACAACTAATTAATCATATTTTACCTCATTTTTTTAGGCATTTGAGTGTCATAATTATCACATTTTGATCATTAGAGGTTGAATTTATGCTAATTGTAGTTCTTTGGTGATGTTTTAGGACTTGGCATGATTATTATCGTATCTAGTCCATTTGGCTCGTAAAGTTCCTCTAATTGTTCATTTATAAGCTAGCTTGTGTCTTATACGTTTGCTTCTAGGATTTTAGAAAATGAGGGATTATGATAAAACCTTAGATTTTGAATATGAGAGATTATGTTGGATTTTGATTATGTTGGATTTTGAAACTTCCATGTTTGTTTGTAGGATTTGGTAATGGCTTTTAGTAGGTTGGAATTATGGCTTGATGGGGGAAATTACTTTCTTATCCTTAATGAACCACTTTTTACTTTACTTGTATTTTGAATGTTTTTGTATATACATGAAGAATTAGCATATGTAAAAATGGCAGCAACATCCATACTATTTGGTCATATTGTATACACGCAAGAAGCCATTAAAGTAAATTGAAACTCTCAACCCAAACCAATAATGTCGAAAGGAAAATCAAGGGTTTGGATTGGATTATAAAAAAAGAGGATGTAAGCATGAAATAATTAATTGTTGAGCTTCATATAAAAGGAAGACAAAACGACAATAGGCAGAGATGGAAAAGGTTGCCGGAGCTTTTTGCTGTGTTGCAATCCTTGGCAACGAAGAGACAAAGTTGGTGAGATGAGAGTGTAGACAAAAGTCCTCAGTAGAGATAATAATAACCGAGGGCAAAATTGGATTACACAAAATGAGTGGGGGTAACACGGTCATTAAACATCATGGATTATATCTATCTTCCAAAATCCTAGCTATAGAGGTAAGATTTTATAATCCATGGGGCCCACGGATTTTAGCTCCAAATAATCCAATATTAGTGGACCCCACAGATTGAAACAAAATCCATTATATGCTAACAAACATGGATTCATTATAAAGTCCAACATATGTTGGATTTTGGGCCAAAATCCAACACCAAAATACCAAAAGCAAACGACCTCTAAGTTCAGGAACCTCCATGTCAAGGAACATTTGGGGTGAGTTTCAAGACATTCGAAGATTATTTAGGGCATGAAAAGGATACATGTTTTTTTCGTATGATAACAAGTGATGAAGCCTAAATCACTCACTTTTTACCCACATTATTTATGCATTTGTGTCCCAAAATCATCGTACTTACACCACATTATGATGTATTTTATGCTCATATGGGTCAACTGTCATGAGTTATGAGATTTAGGGGTCGTTTGGAAGTTGCGATTGTTAAATAAATGTATTGTTAGGAATGCATGTATAATATTATACATGTATTGTCGAATTTGATGCATTATAGAATACAACGTTTGGTATGTGTGATTGTGTATGTCGCATCAGCTAAAAGCTGAGACAAACCAATCTCAACTCAACTATCACAACTAAAAGTGGAGATATAACAATCACTCAAAATGAGTGATAGTTTCTGTCACATCACAGAAACAATCCATGTATTGTTTCTGCTAAAAAAACAATGCATTGTAAACAATACATGCATAATGACAATCTCAACAAAACAATCGCAACTTCCAAACGACCCTTAACATATGTTAAGTTGCTATGAGTTATTTCATAGGGCCCTATTTTGTTTTTTTATGTTGGCCAAATATAGCAAAAACTTTGACGGTTTTGCCAAATATAGCTACTTTTGACGAAATACCAAAAATAGCTACTTTCGTCCAATTGTTTGACGGTGTTAGTTAACGTGCTGACTAGACTAACAACATCGGATGACGTGACATATTTTATTCAAAAATAATATTAGGTGGAAAATGATCAAAAGTTTATCCTTTATTTTTATCAAACTAAATAAGAAATAAATAAACACAATTAACACTTTCGTAACAGTAGAAACAAGAAAAAAATCCCTCTCTCCACCAAAAATCTCCCTCTGCCATCGCAATCTCCGAAAATCCCTCACCTTCATCGCAATCCTCATTGCAATTCCATCCCTAGAATCTCCCTCTGCCGGTCTTGGTCCTCTCCGAGGAGGAGGCGAATGCTGCGACGGTGGTTGTTCCTGGTGGTTCTGCTCGACGAGGAGCAAGAGATCCAGGATTCAGATCTTCCGAATACAACAAGCGACAACCTTTCATTGTATCCAGACGTACAAACCCACTTTCTCCATCGACAGACAAACTCATCCAGATCGACGAAGCCACCACCGCGAAACCCTTTTCTTAAGGACGACGTCGATGTTGCATATCGATTCTGTTGTGGGAAGATCTTCTAAAGGACGACGATGGTGACTTCTCAAACGACTTCCAGCTCTTGATTGGCCGTGAAACTTGGTGGCCAAATGTGAAACACCCATTAAAATCGAGGGCCAAATCTACAATGAGCATATTTCCTCCGACCTCACTTATATGTCACTTCGTCTCCATCATCGGCGTTGTTGTTGCCAAAATCGATTGGCTTGGATTCCTCTGTCCCTGGCGAAGGCGATGGTGGCCCAGAATCTAATGGTGTCGTGGAGAACCAGTTGTTTGTGAGACATGGTCGCGGCGAAGGATTGGGGTTGCTCTCGACAAGGCTAGGGTTTTTGAATTGGGGATTTTCGTAGAAGAGGGGATGATGGT